CTTTTAGCCTACCATTTGACAGTCTGATACTATACCAAATTAACCAAACAATTATCAGTAAAAAAAAAAGACGTGAATAATTTATAATTCCGATCTTGTAAGAAATGAAGCTTTTAGGTTTATCAAATTCAAGACAAATCGCATGGGCCTTACAAAGTTAAACACCTTATTGTATGACTTCAATTACCTTCGGGTTTAGACTGCTTATACCTTTTCCTTCAGAATGTTTAGCTTGAATTGCTTTTCCTTTGGTTTGTTTACCTAGTTAACTTTTTTCATCATGGATTGCTATATTACTATTCAATCCAATATTGTTAGAATGAACAAGTTTTAAGAACAGTTTCCCCAAATGCAATCTCTATTAAGATTCACATGCTTTGCCCAAAAGTGTTCTCTTTTACCTACCAACTCGTTCATTTAAGATATCTTATAGGATACCTTGACCTTCACTTTATAATGATATACTATCCTTTCTCCTCAAAATCCCTCGTTTTCAACTTTTTTTTATAGCCTAAGGGTCATTCATGGCTAAGACTTGAATGTTTTAGTTTTTGATTGTTCTATTCCCAAAGAGGGGTTGCCATATTATCACATACAACAGTGTGGGTATATATTGCTTTGCGATAAATAATTTCCTTCATTTATAAAGCAGGGAGGGTAAAAATGTCTGTTTTGCGGGTCGTCCCTCATTTCTGTTTTCGATGTGACGTCTTTGCTTTGTGAGGACTCTATGCAATAGCTAATACTTGTCCCCTTACAATCAGGCGGCTATGAACCTAACCTCTTCACTTGTTTTAAAGCTAGAAGTACCCAAGCAGCTTGGCTATCAAAAATCAACTTGTACTTCCATCTAAAGAAGAGCGCTTCCAATTATATGGCTAAATCCAATATTGCTAATCCCACTCTTTTTTTTTTTTTTTCTAAAAAAAAAGGGCGACGGCTTTGAGATGTCATCATTGAGCTGACCGGCCCCAGGCAATTCCGGCAATTCAGAAACATCTGGTTTTATTCATCTAAAACCATCATCTGGATCCGAACTCTGGTCTGCATTTCAAGTTTCAACAGTTCATGGGTGTTCCCACTGAGCTAATCCTACTCTCGCTCCGGGTCGAGTAATGAAGTCTCAAACCACCCTACTGACTGTTTTTTCGTCCTCTCCATTTTTCCTCCTACTCTCGCTTTGGGTTGAGCAATGAAGTCTCTATAATATCGACTTGTACCATAAAGCTTCAAGGGAGGAATTATTAATTACTGCAACTTTTCAAAATTTTCGAATGTTGGTTGGTTACACCAATGATCATTATCTGCATGTTTAAGCAAAAGGTACTAGTCTGAGCCCCAAACCCTGGGTTGATTCATCCGCCGGATGCCTATTTATCTAAGCGGGTGTAAAGGGCCTTACTCCTTCGTGATTGATCCACCATCCCAACATTCAGCTCCCCCAATTTATTGACATATTCGGGAATCGAAAAAATGTGTCCATCATTTTCTGAATCTCCTTAGAGTTACTTGGGGAAACATCTAGGGAGAAGCCACTTGTAAAGAGGGAGCACACTAGAATGACCTGCTCTAGGATTAGGGCTACCCTGTTCCTAACCAGATCGTTAATTTTCCCGAGGTTTCATTATCATTATAAATAGGTATGCGGCCAAGATGGCCTTTGCCTTGTTGATCTTTGTTAGCGATATTTCTGATGCTAGAATCCGCATTGTAATGCAGGATGAAGGCCAATTTCCTTGAGTTCTTCCATGCGTTGAATTTCTCTAGATAACGACAAGAAACTCCACCTGCACGCAATGAAACGCTTTTCTAAAATCAGTGACACCAGGTCCGCATCTGCCTTGTTTTGCCTCACAAATTCGAGGACCAATATGTTTCTTCCTTCCAAACATCGGCTCCGGTTGTGGTGAATTAACCCCATCACTCCTAGTCTGTTGGAGATCATTATATATATAACCGTTAGTTTTTTTTTTTTTTTTTATATAACCGTTAGTAAGGTAATGAGCAATTAATTTCTTATGTTCATCTTCTCCCTTTTTGTTTTATACAGGAGAGGTAGACCGTAGACCCCTTGGTCCAACTTTTTTTTTTTTTTTTCCTTTTAAAAGGGCGACGGTCTTGAGATATTATCATTGAGCTGACCGACCCCAAGCAATTTATTGGTAGTTGGTTTCAATTGTCAAGTTCCATCAGCTGGATTTGAACACAGGTGTGTATTTCAACAGTTCATGGGTGTAGCCACTGAGCTAGGCTCTTGGGTGGTCCAACTAAGTCTAATGTAAGACCTCTGCAAAACCTCGTTGCATATTTATTTGGAAATGAGGTTTGGAGAGACAGGGCACAACCAGCCATAATTTTGTCCATCCGGCTCCCACAGATGGCTGAAGAGGCGGTGCAACTGTCACATACCTTCGGTATTTGCGGACCTTAAAAGCTGAAACCGACCGGGTAATGGCCACGGGATAGAGGTTGAAAGGATTGTGCAATGGGACGCTGGACCAGTTTCCAGCAGGTGCTGCTACCCACCACTCCCTATGCCAAAGACCGGAGCATCCAGGGACAGGCCTGCTAGAGAAAGCTGCTCACACCACTCCCTACAGCAAAGCCCAGTCGGGTTTTTCCACAAACAAAAAAGAAAAAAAATACAAAAGAGATTTCATTCCTTGTCAGTGATTGATCCACGTTCTCTTTTAGCCTGTCTGATCTGCACGTGTCCAAAGATTGGAGGCATTGATGCGACTTTTCTTACGTTCTGCGTCCTGTTTGTGAACTTTAGACTTGAAAGAAGTCTCAAGAAAAACTTCCGGCATAGTTTATGCAAAAAAAGTTTGTGTAGACAGGAGGTAATGCAAAATTATGAAGCTTTGATAAAACATCTATTACCTCACATCGTGGTTGAATTTATACAAAAAAAGTTTGGGTAGACTGAAAGAGGAGGAGAACATTGTCACTTCCCATTCATATTTCTTTAGTTTCCCTTTGATTTTTGACCCTTGCCATCAATTTGAAGACGTTTCCTATTTTAAGTATTCTTTGACTAGAATCACTAGATTTATTGCATCTGTGTAAAATCTGCCACTTAAGGGCCCAACAGTGAGACTAATTAGTTAAAAGGCGTACCTCACCCAGACAGCACACGGGCCCCTCATAAGCCAGCATTAAACCCAACAATAACACAATGGCTAGAGCACACAACGCAACGCAATTACAATGAAAAGAGTCCACAAAGCAATGATCACCCATGCACAAAATATTGACCATGCAAAAGTCTCTTCCATGGCTCTCCTTATCTCACGTCCACAAATAGAACAACAATAATAATATGTTGGCCAGACTTCAATCACTCACCAACCAATCTGCCCTCTCACCCTGTCATCCTAACCAATACCTAGCTCAATCTACTCTATCTGCTTCAAGCCGGATGGTGCCACCTGTGTCCAAAAAACATAGATACAATGTTGGAGCTCGTATGATGAAAATCACCGAGGTGAACTGTTCGCTACTTCACAACATGACCCTCCCTCCTCTAAGTGCCTCTCCTCTCTGACAACCCCCCCCCCCCCCCCCCCCCCCCCCCCCCCCCCCCCCCCCCCTCCCCCCCTCCCCCCCCCCCTGGGCACTGGGTACGACCACTGCCTTGATTAGCCTGAAATGGCTACTGCTGTGATAAGCATAAACATTGGGCGCTGAACTTCCTACTCCTCCTAAAACAATGCAGCACCAAACTTGCCCGAATGTGAATGTGTGAGCTGCTGCTACATGCTTACGTATATGCCAGCCTAGTACTGGTTGGCCGCGGCCTGCTCAGACTCTGAAATTTTCTTGACGGCAGATCCTACTGGTTCCCAACCACTACCGACCCTAACTGACTTTGCACGCGTGGTTGAATCTGGCCTTCCAAAAAGCCCCCCTTTGGCTTGGCTAGGACGTTGGTTGGATGGCTGGTTGGTTGGTTGTTTAGTCGGTTGGTCGGTTGGTGCAATGACAGGTGGTTTGTTGGCAGGGTGGTGGCTGGTTGGCAGGTGGGCGGGGTGGTTGGTAGGGTGGTGGGAGAGTGGGTTGGTGGGACCGGGGGGGGAGGGGGGGTTGGGTTGGTTGATGGGTGGGATGGAGGGTGGGTTGATTGGTGGTTGCGTAGATGTTGGGGTCGGTAGGTGGTTGGTTGGTTGCTCCATCGGTGGGTGAGGGGTGGGTTGGCAGATGCGCCAGTTGTGGTCACTTAGTGGGTTGGTTGGTGTCAACTTGGTGAGTTCTTCCGGTGGGTGTGTTGGTGGGTGGGTGGGTGGGTGGGGCACCGTGCGTGTTTTGTGGGTTGTTCGTTTGTTTGTTCGTCGTTTGCCTTTCCTCATCATTTGTTTGCTTATTTGTTTGTTATTTCATTTGTTTCTGTTTGTTTTCCCTTTTGTTTGTCCATTTGTTTGTTTGTTTGCTTGCTTGTTTTTTGTTTGTCCGTTTGTTTGTCTGAGTTGAAGTTGTTTGCTTGCTTGTTCTTTGTTTCTCTCTTTCTGTGGCTCACTCACTTGCTCTCTCTCTCTCTCTCTCTCTCTCTCTCTCTCTCTCTCTCTCTCTCTCTCTCTCTCTCTCTCTCTCAAAGTCTCCCCCTCTCTCCCTTTTCCAACTCCCACTCTGGAGGTGGCAGAAGCTTCCTCCAGAGTCTGGACGTTCCTTTCCATGCATTTATTTAATTAAAGAAAAGAACCTGGAGACTCGTTGAATTGAAGGAGAGACACATCGAGAGGTGGTGACAAAAAGCCCGCATTTGATTTAGAGAAAAGCAGCAGCCGTATGGATAAGAAAATATTCCGAGTGCACGACAACTTTTCTCCTTCCTGCCAAGTTATTGTCAGTGAGTACACACACACACACATCTTGTTGAAGACCTGCCTGCTGCAATAGCACTAAAGCCGACCCTGATTTGGAAAACAACATCCTAACACCCCAGATCAGAATCGGTGGTTGTTGTTATTGTTGTTGTTGTGTACATACTTTACTGTGCCGAACGGATCGTTTCAGATTTGTTCCTGAAGCTCATCTCCCTCTCCTCCCCACCCCCCCTTCCCAGAAGTTCGGCAATCAGCATCTAGCTAATGTTACAAATACATCATTGCTATGAGAGTCGGTCAAGCTCAGAAAGTAAACTGTGCAGGTGGGGGGAGAGTAGAAGGAAAGAATGGTACCTTGTGGTTCACGAGTTCAAACCCTCACCTGTACGCGTGTCCCAAATTCTCCCAATCAGATGAGCAACGAAAGGCTACGTGTGTCCCAAATTTTTCCAATCAGATGGACTTGCGCCATGTTCTGATCTCAGTGATCTGTCCATCAACATTTCACACCAGTCCCTGGGGAGCGAGAGGCTAAGGCATGGCAAAAGTCGTCAGACACACATGTCATGCAAAGCCGTTGAATAAAAATCAATCTACGGGCAAATGTGGAAGAGCGACAGAAATAATAGCATACAACGAGAGGCTCAACTTGCAATCATCAACAACTTCCAACCACCGGCGGAATATAGGGAATCAGGCTAGAATTTCCAGGGTCAGTGAGGATGCCTCTCAACAACCCAGCTTTGGGTCGAAACCATGGAATGAGTCTGAGTATATTTCAGCAGCTGCCTAGTGGATGCATCCTTGCAACGAGGGTGCATATTTACCAAACGCCCAAGGATAGAAACTCTAGGGGAAAAAAACACTCCAGAAAAATAAGCCGAGGGCAAAACCCGTCCTCAAGGGGAGAAAAGAGTCACATGGCAGCCAGACACTGTATTGTATTATCAATTTATCATCATAGCCATGAATACAGCCATAAACACGTGAGCGGAACTCAGTGTTACAAAGGCGGAAAAATGAACAACAGTCAAGCGGGAAGACCAAAACAGGAAGACAAACGACAAGGACAGACACACAACAGACAAGACACAAGACACAAGACAAGAAGACAAGATAGAAGAAAGTAGTCCGAGCACAGGTAGTGCGTTTAAAAAATAATCCAAAACGACCTGCCAGCGGCGAACCTCGCGCGACCGAAAGGTCAACAATCAAAGAATCGTCGCGTAATGGGCGTGACCCGACGCCGCGTTTCGGCCGCTCGGCGTCCCCGCCATCTTCAGACACTGGACTGATGACAAGGGTGCATATTTACCAAACGGCCATGGATAGAAACTCTAGAAATAAGCCGAGGGCAAAACCCATCCTCTAGGGGAGATAATGGTCAATGTACACGATTGCCTATGGAACATCCACACTGCCAAAAAACCGACGAAGGTGAACAAAGAAATGTCACCACAAGACACCGACAGATACAGAAACTACTTAAGAAAGAATTCACGAACCCCCCCCCCCCTCTGTCCTTCGGGACATTCGTTAAAATTGGAACGATACAGAGAAGATTAGCATGACCCCTGCGCAAGCAAGGATGACACGCATAAAAAAAAAAAAAAAAGAATTCACGAACCCCAAGGACAAAAACATAAATTTCTACAATAGACGAGAATGTAAATGAACCAACAGATCAGCCCTGTCATGCCAGAAATTTCAGTGTACAGATCAACCCTTAATTTAGACCCCACCAGTCCATGGCCCCAGGCAGTGTGAGAACCATGAGATGCTCTCTCCGAAAAATTCAGAGGCTAGGGGCAACCGGACCAAAATGGCTGGAGGCGCCAGCCGATACGAAAACAAAAATGTTACGCTGACATTTCGGCAAAGCTTGGCGCACAGCGGGGAATTCGCCTCGTACAAAAGAGGCTCGTGTCGACTGGTGGTTTAACAAATCCTACATTACTGCAAAGCCACAATTGTGCTGCTTTGAAAAAGCCTAAGTACTGCAAAAGCCACATTTGTGACATTCCTCCACTCCCAGTAATCCGCCCCCTCCCTCCTCCCTCTTGCTGATACTCCCCACTCCTCAAGACATTCCTCAGCCCTTTTCCTTGTTCAATATATCCTCTTTTTTTTCCGATCGCCTTCACCCTCAAGACATCCATCAGCCCTTTCCTTTTCAATATATCCCCCGTTTAGATGGCCTCCCCCCTCTCACGACACCCATCAAGCCAGCCCAGCCTCCCTCTTCCTTCCATTTCCCTAGCAGTCGTGGCCATGTCCTCCCCTTGCGCTTTGTCGAGCATGTCCCTCTTCGGAATCGCCCCTTTGCTAGGCACCTATTCTACCACACTGAGTAAACTGAGACAAAACATCTCCTCTCGGCAAACAGAAACCCATCTTCTTACCTGTTCCCAGAGAGAAAGAAAAGAAGCAAAGCTATAAGAGACCGAATGACATAGCCTCATGGGAGATCACCAAATAATCAGTTGGACCGAAAAAAACAAATAACTATCCGCATGAGAACATTCATCGCTTATCCTGGTGAGCACAACCACCTCAGCCATGGTTCCCGACACTGCAAGGCCTGAAAAGCCTACAGACTCAAAAAAAAAAAAAAAGAGAGGTGCTACCAAGCAAGGCAGTTAACAGGAAAAATAAATGTCATCACTCATAACCTCAATGATCATCGAGATTGAAAACAAGTTGGAAATAAGTAAAGAACTCCTCCAAAACTGAAACAGAACTACATCAGCGAGAGAGAGAGAGAGAGAGAGAGAGAGAGAGAGAGAGAGAGAGAGAGAGAG